TTCGGCTGGCGCGGCAGTTGGTCCCCTTCCTCGACCAGGATGACCTAGCCACAGTGATCCATGCGACGGTTACCTCGAGGCTAGACTATTGTAACACTCTCTACATGGGGCTGCCTTTGTCACAAATTCAGAAGCTGCAACTAGTGCAGAATGCTGCAGCCAGGCTGTTGATGGATCTTCCTAGACGAGATCACATCCAGCCTGTGCTGAAAGCGCTGCACTGGTTGCCAATAGCTTACCGGGTTCGCTTCAAAGTGCTGGCCATTACCTTTAAAGCCCTATATGGCCAGGGACCAGCCTACCTAAGGGACCGCCTTGCCCCACATGTTCCCCCAAGGGCACTACGGTCGGGGAAACAACATCTACTGGATGTTCCAGGCCCCCGTTCTATCAGACTTACCATGACCAGGAATAGGGCGTTCTCGGTGGCAGCTCCTATCTGGTGGAACGAGCTCCCAGAGGAGATCAGGGCTCTGCAGGACCTAGCACAGTTCCGCAGTGCCTGCAAGACGGAGCTCTTCCGCCAGGCTTTTGAATAGGAGCTGCCACCACCAGTGTACTACCATCGCACTTAGTTAACCATCTACCCCCATATATGGACATCAGGACGGGGGCACGTACACCTAGGCCCCATAATCGCTGCACTATGGGTGAGAACGGGACGGTTAGGGGGTGGCCATCTTGTTTTTAGAAATTGTAATTTGGAGATTGGAAATTAGCTGAGAGAAGCACCAAAATCTGTTTTAATGGGGTTGTAATTTAATATTTTGTACTGTTTTACTGTTTTATTCGGCAATATGCCCTGTAAGCCGCTCTGAGCCTTCGGGGAGGGCGGGATAGAAATATGAATAATAAATAAATAAATAAACTTCAACTTTTGCAGCTACAAATGGAGAAAGCTAACTTAGTCTTCCAGTTCCAAGGGGTTCTGGAAGCAAAAGAAGAGAATCTAAAGCAACTTTTGAGCGATGCACTAGCTCCAGTTACAGATTTAAAAGCGGAATACCTGGTAAGCGAAATGGATGTGGTTTATAGAGCCTATTCCGTTTATATCAAGAAAAATAATCTGCCTGGAGAGATAGTGGTTAGATTCTCAAAGATACATGTGAGGGATCAAATCCTTAAAGCGACTACAGGAACACCCTTGAAAACTGGAGGCAACACCATCAGGATTCTAAAAGACATTCCATTTGAAATAAGGAAGAAGAGGAAGAAGTATAAAGACTTGATTCTGTTTTTGCAAAGAAACAGCATTCCCTACAGATGGTTAAACCCTGAATGCGTCATTTTCAAACTGCAGGATAAAAAAGAAAAAATTGACTCTGTTTCCAAAGCGCGTGAGTTCCTGAGACTGCAACTGGGAGAGTCAGGAGAGGACGATAAGGATGAAGAAGACAGCAAACTTAGTGATGAAATGGACTCCGCTACTTCCGATGAGGACTCTACTTCAGAAAAAGGGGCGGCAGCCCCCAAATAAGAATACCAATTGAGGATTAGAAAAGATAAAACAAAATGAAGGCTGAAGAACTCTGATCTGTGCCTTGAAGTTGTTTTTATTTTAACAATGCTCTTGTGATTTTCTTTAAACAGTTAAAATAATGGTTTTAAAGATAAATAATATAGCTTAATTGACAATGTTCAATGTAATTTTAGCATTTTAGGCTAACACTGATACAAGCTTTTGTAATGATATCCTATACTTGGGTTTTTAGTGGTTTTCTTTTCTTTCTCCCATAGATGTAGTTTCCCCTTCCTTTTTTTCGTTGTAGTTTATAGAAAAATGCAATAAAAAATCCCCTACGGGGGGACAAAAAAAAGAGCATATGAAAGGGAATAGGCATTTCTATGGACCAATCTAAGTGGGCTGTCTGACTGGTATGAATGACTTTATTGTCTTTATTGCTTTCTTTCTATACTGTCCTGGATATCAGATGAGAGAAAAGAGTGAGAACATATTTTAAAAATAAAACAGAGTGAATGAGAAGGTAGTAGCGAGAAGATGTGTCCTCAGGCGCTGGTCCTGTGGTGCAATAAGAGGCTAGAGAGATAAGGACCAGTAGAACCAGCTGTGAGCAGGACATGGCAAGTAAGCCAGACATCACTGGTTTTAAGGAAGAAAAACTGCAACCTATACATATTTCAATGGGATCTATTCCCAGATGCCTATGGGAATAACTTTTTTTTTGCTTTTAACTTCATTTATACCCTACCTTTCTCCCAAGTAGGGACCCAAAGTGGCTCACACTGTTTTCCTCTTCTCTATTTCATCCTCACAACAATGCTGTGAGGTCACTTAGGCTGAGAATTATGTGACTATACCACAATGGCTCTGAACAAACATGAAGCAAAAGATCCTCAAGGACCAGACAGATGCAAAGCCAAGACCTAACAGGTATATAAAAGGCAGAATAATAACCATCAGAACAAACATGTATGGGGCTATAAATATACTAAGGTAAAGGTAAAGGTTCCCTTGCTCAAACGCCAGTCGAATCCGACTCTAGGGTTGCGGTGCTCATCTCCGTTTCAAAGCCGAAGAGCCAGCGCTGTCCGAAGACGTTTCCGTGGTCATGTGGCCGGCATGACTAAACACCAAGGCGCACGGAACGCTGTTACCTTCTCACCGAAGTGGTCCCTATTTATCTACTTGCAATTTCTTGCTTTCGAACTGCTAGGTTGGCAGGAGCTGGAACTAGAGACAGGAGCTCACCCTGTCTTGCGGCACCCGGGTCTTGAACCGCTGAACTACTGACCTTCCACAGCCTGCAGTTCAGCGTCTTAACCACTTGAGCCACCGCAGCTCCTCCATAAATATACTAAGCAGCTCTATAAACTGGCATTTTGGGGGCTATTCAATATATTCTCAAAGACTGAAAATCAGGGGAAGTGACTTTTAATAAAGTAATAAAGTAAGACAAATAGCCCTGGTAACATTTGCCTGCTATTTTCTGAGTTCTTTGCAGCCATGAAGACTGTAGCTGAAATAGATAAGATGATTTCTAAATCAGCTGGGAAACTGTACTAAAGTGCCTCAGAGCACACTATTGCCCAATAGCAGTGCTTATTCAGTACCTTCCTACCTACTAAAATCCTACCTGTCAATCTAGCTTCTGCATGCAAAGAATCAGCCAAGAGAGAGAATATAGTGGCAGCCAGAATCCTTTTTAATTGGGTTTGGTAAGGATTTTCACTAAGTTGAGAAATACCTACAGTTTAGTTTGGATTTTTACATTCCATTTATAAGCTTATAGATGTAAATTATCCTCATACTCGTAATACAATAATTTTAGTTATTGAAACCTTCCTTCACTGATGGAAAACCTCACCTTTCTCTGATTTTTCAACAGTCCATTTTCTTTACAATCAGATCCAGCAGTTAAGATATCTGTCTGTAGATTGGTAAACACCTTGTCAATCTGTTCAAATAAAACAATACTGATTTTACAGGTTTAAATTTTAAAGAAGGCTAGATTAATCACATACAATGCAAAATAAGTTTTACAGTAGCTAATTAAATAAAGTTAGATTCGTACCTGATTGCCTGTATTATTAGCTTTTGTTTCTTCAGGTATGTTCATTTGGTTTGTTATATCCAAAGATCTGAAGCACAATATACAATTGTTAAAAATACTACAGAACAGTTGCTCATGAAATCAGTCTAGCAAGCCATGCAAATTACAGGGTTTAATTTGGATAAATGGAAAGAACAAATGAATCCAAAATTCATGGGCTTCTATTATAACCAGTGTTCCCTCTAAGCTGAGTTAGTGTGAGCTAGCTCACAGCTTTTTAGCCTCCGGCTCACAGATTTTTGTCTTCGCTCAGGAAGGATGGCTCCAGAGCAAACTAATTTATGCAGTAGCCAAATCGCTGGCTCACAGCTTTAATGCCAGTAGCTCACAAATGTCGAATTTCTGCTCACAAGACTTGACAGCTTAGAGGGAACATTGATTATAACTATGGGTCACAATGAAGTGTTGGGGACACATGTACCAACATTTCTTTGCATAAAATCAAGGCAGCTTACAATATTGCTGCTGACAAGCAGTAATATATAGAGTAAATCCAAAGGAAGTAAAACCAAGCATTCAGATACCATTAAACAAAAGTTGTCACACAGGGAGTAACTAAAGATCTTTTTAAAAAGGAATGTCTTCAATGGTTAGTAAGATATTTGCTCATTTTAAAAAAAAAATTGATATGACACACTCCTATCATTACAATTATCCCAAAAACATACTTTGAAAGAAAAATGTATGTGTTTTATCCAAAGACTGCCTTCCACTGGGTAAGTGTCTTAGTTGAATGCTTTATTAATACATATTGAAGGTCAAAGAAGACGGGGACGGCAAAGGATGAGATGGTTAGACAGTGTCATCGATGCAACGAACATGAAGTTGAGCAAACTTCAGAGGATGGCGGAAGACCGGAAGGCCTGGAGGGAGCTGGTCCATGGGGTCGCAAAGAGTCGGACTCGACTGTGCGACTGAACAACAACAACAACTTTAAGGCATTGTTTTACTAATGCATGCTGCTGATTTTGCACTTCCTTTTAAAGTTGCTAGGGGTAGCCATATTACAGGTTTTTAAGATCTATCTTCATTTTAATATACACTGGCCTGTATCCTAGTATGTTGCACTGAGACACCAAATCTCATGCTTCTGGCTTCTGAACGCACTTGCGCCAATAAAATGTGCCTCCATGACAGGACACAAATCTATATATTATGTTTTAAACAACTGATTACAAGCCACCTGGTGGGCTTTTTGGTTAAATAAATAAGGAAATAAAAGTAAACATTCTCTGGTGAAGGAATTATCTCATTTGGCAGAAATCTCTGAATACAATACTTTGCTCTGGAGCAATAGTTTCAATAGCCTCTCTCTGGTTTCCTTTCAACACACTATGATGAATCAGTTAGCTCAGCATGATTTAAATGGTCAGAAAGGAAAACCTAGATTTAATTTTCTGCTCAACTGTGAAGGTCTCTAGCTGAACTGGTAGTGTAACAATTTAACAAGTTTGCTGTAATCTCAAAAAAACCCCTCTAAATTCACAGAAGCAGTAGAACAGAAACACACAGATGTGAAAAAATACATATTGTTAAGAATCTATCATCATGAAAGGCAAACTAGAAAACTTACTGCTGAAAAGAGGCAGAAAGCTAAGCAGTGTAAGTACAGTATGAAATACTGCCAAGGACTACAGAAAATCACAAGCATAAAAACAACAAGAGATTTTCTGATTCACTGTAACTACAAAAAATTATGCAGACTTACTTTTGCTGCTCTTGCATAATATGGATTTGTTCAAGTTTGGTCTTATGCTCAGTTTCCAATCTATTTAGCATCTCTTTTATGACTGAAATGAAGGAATTAAACTAGGAAAGAAATATTTTCTTAAATGAGGATCATTTTAAACAAACAGCTTCCTAGCATTAAATAAAGGTTTCCAGAACTATTTAAGACAGACTAATAATACAAATTTGCTGTAAAATAAGCTCTGAAATAAGTAGATTTATACTATAACTATAGGATCACTATGAGAAAACATACACGACAAGAAAGAAGCAAGTCTAACATGTTAGCAAAACACACTCAAGTTAATTTTATATAACAAGGAAAGGTGTATTTGTTTTTCTTTAAAGCAAAAACATTTACTGCAATCATTATGATCTCTTAGCATTAAGGCAAAAATCCCCCCCCTCCCCCGGCAAAACAGGGACATGTTCCATCTGCTGGTTTGCCTTCCAATAGTGGTACTGCATGCTAAAGACATTACACACTGTAGTAGAAGTCCTCACTCAGCATTCTGACTAGGTTTTATTATTACATTTGATCTTAGCCAAAAGACCAAGAAGCAAAGGTTTTAATAAAAAGTGTACCTCTGGAGCTGCACCCCCATTACAGAACAGAAAAACTGGGCGAGAAAGACTGACCACATATGTATGTACTGTGAACATGTGAATGAGATTTACATGTGTGTAGACTTCTATGGATCCTGGATCGTTAAAATTAAATAAATAAATAGCAATAATGTGAATATAATACTCTCACTGGAAAAAAAAAGCAAATGCCTATTTGTTTTAGGAACACGCATTTGATCCTCAGTCGTTTTAAACTTGAGTGTTACAAAGTCCACTAACTAGAGGGTCATTAAACTGACAGATACATGTCTCATCCTGGTTAGCAGGAGAAGATGTGTTTTATATGACAGGTTGTGAGAAGCTGGAGTGGCTGAGTGGACAGAAGGCACTGGTAGCTGAACAATGTAAAACTGAAAGTACATTTGAACTGAACTGGACAACAAAGAATAAATTGTTTACCATATTTATATAATCTTGAAACATCAACAAGGCGTTTAGCTTATCATAGTGACATCTCATAGAATAAAAAAATCAAAAAAGCAACAAAATAGGTTTGCCATCCCCCCAATGGGGGTGGGGATCCCCCTGATTTTGGGGCTCCTGGCTAGCAGGGGAACCTTGCCCCTGAAGAGCTCCATGGCACCCAATGTGCCTGGTATTATGACATCACCTGGAAATGATGTCATCGTGCCGGGCACATCAGAAGGGGATGCTCTAGTGTTTGACGAAAAACTCTATGGTGACCATAAAGTTTTTCACCAAATGCTAGAGCGACCCCCACATACCTAGCACAATGACATCACTTTTGGGTGATGTCATCATGGCATGCGTGCTTTGTGTGCTTGAAGATCCCAGAGAGGAGCCAGGAGCTCCCCGCTGCCAAAACATAGGGATCTAGCAACCCTACAACAAAATGTCTGCATTCTTGTCAAGAGTGCTACTTTTTTGGAAGGAAGTTCCACTGAAATTAACAGGATGAGTAAACATGCTTTGAATAGGAACAGTGAATGTGAAAGTCATACCTGATTGAGATTAAGATTGTTCTCAATGCTAAGAGGAATCAGATGTGGCAGCACCTTTCCTGCAAGTTGCTCTTTTGTAATTCCCAGCTTTTTATGACTAAATGTACATTTATAAATACCTGTAATTAAACATTAAACATTACCTACAGATCTTTCCATTTTAATTAACTAGTTTCAATTAAACATACTTCTTTTTCCTAGCTGCATAGAAAATATGAAAATCTCAAGTACATAACCAGTAGACTCAAGCGGAAATCACTCATACATACACACACTATAGCTTCTATTACAAAGACACATTTCAGACAGCATTATTGAAATCCGGCATAAAAAAGGAAAAGCCGGTAAGGGAAAAAATAGCATTTGTGAAACCTGCCGTCTCTTATAGTTTGAACCTCAAGATTAGGGTTGCCAACCTCCAGGTGGTCAAACTGGAAACCATAATACCATGAACAAATTACTATGAGAAGTTATAACAATTATATTACCATAACCATTCAATATAACATCTTCATAACAATCTTACAACATTCACATGTTACAATGTCATATAATTTAAGTCCCAAAAGTTCATATTTCACAGCACATATCCATAACAATACATTTCCAATTCTCAGTGGAAGTCAAAGAGCTTTGTGCTGTTAGAAAACTTATTCTTATCATATATGCTTCAAAAGAAAGTTGAGACATGATTGGCAGAGTTAAATTGTTTCTTCATAAGGTGGACAATAGGACAAATAAAGGACACCCACATTCTGCCAGCCTGTGATTCCGTTTCCTTCGTGACTTTTTCAAAGCCGAAACAGAATGTTGTCATACATGTCCATTTTTCTACACATCTCACTGTAGCATAATAAATTCACACATTCTTCCATGTAGATTTATGAATAGCATCATCAACTTGCCAAACATCCATTCAACAATTCTTACAAGCACAAAGATCCAAGGCTCACATTTCCTAAAGCTATACAGGGTACCTAATATCAATAAATACATTCCAATTTATACATCTTAATTCACAACAGCTGATCAGAACTTCAAAGACAGCCTTAAAGAAATATACTTAAAATGAGGATTTCAATCAGAACATGCCCATTAAATGACTGACCATACTTTTATAAATAACAGGAATAGTCCACACTTAAATTCAGTCAAGAGGGGGCCAAAGTATTGAATTTCAAAATCCAAAAGATCTCCTCCATGAGGAGCACCTTCTGAACATCATTAATAACATGGTGGCTTTCCTGGTATTTATAAATAACAAAGAACTCCATGTCATCCACACTGGGGTTAAAAGCAACATAATGCAAAATGATGGGCGCCTCCAAAATTTTATTTTTAATTTGTGATGTTCCAGAATGCAAATTTTTATGGGACATGTGGTAATCCCCAGATACATTTGTTGACAGGAACAGATTATGATGTATACTATGTTCTGTGAGTTACAATTAGATTTTTTTTTAAAGGAACAGAAAGGTTAGTGTGTGTCGGAGTAAATTCTTTTAATTCCAATGCCAAAGGGCAGACTAAACATCCACACCTGTGGTGTCCCATTGTTTGTGTTAATCTTAAACTGTTACATCTCATACCAGAATGTACTATCAAATCTTTGTTGTTTCTAGTGCGTCTGAATCCTATGTACAGCAAGGAATTACATTCCAGGACATCACTTAATAAATGCCAATGCTTCAATACAATCCTCCAAACTGAATTTGAAAAAGGAGTGAAGTCAAAGAAACACGTCACCCTATTATGTCAAACTTTTTCACAGTCTGTGAACAGACCGGCCCTCTGCATGACATTTAGCATGTGGTATGACTGACAAGAATAACCCCTAGTTATAAACTCACTTTCCATTTTTCGGCAATCATGTATATAATCAGTAAATTGTGTGAAGTTTCTCTTGACCTTAAGAAATTGACCATACAGAAGGTGCTTTCTTGGATGAGCCAGGTGAAACGATTGATAATGAAGGTATGCGTTTTTAGCTGTTTTCTTCCTAAAAACTCGCATTGCCAGTCTGTTATTCACTGTTCTATACAATGACATATCCAGCTTTGTGCCACCATGGCCAATCTGTTTATGGCTGAACCTAAGAGTCAGATTATTTGTCATAAAGAGTACAACCCATTTTTGACAACATTATTGTATATAAGAGGTATACAGATGATCTCTTTTTGATTTTGAAAGACAGTGCAATTATGGATCAATTTTTGAATTGGATGAATAGATTCCATGTTAACATCAAATTTGGGGGGAAGGTAGATAGCAATGCTGCTGCTTTCTTGGATATGTCAGTATGCAGAGCAGTGGACAATAGATTGGCAATGTGAGTTCTTAGGAAGTAAACAAATAAACACTCATGTCTTCATTATCAACCATTTCACTCAGCTCATCTAAGAAGGAAAGTTGATGATGTTCATAAACATACATGGATGAATTTGTGAATTTATTATTACAGGATGGTTTTGTATATTATATTTTGCTACGGTGAGATGTGTAGGAAAATGGACATGTAGGACGACATTCTGTTCTGGCTTTGAAAAAGTCATGAAGGAAACGGAATCACAGGCTGGCATGCTCTGTCAGACAGAACGGGGGTTTCCTTTATTTGTCCTATTGTCCACCTAGACACACACACACTTGATATTTTTGTTTGGATAAAGAAGGTGGTGAGTTGAGTATGTGTGTGAGTGTTAATGCAGTTACAGTTATCCTTTTATAGCCAGATAACTGTTTCATAGGTTCAGATGGATAGAACCACTGTCACAAAGTTGCTAAACGCATTATGAATAGTCCTATCCAATAAAACATTGTTAATGTTGTTGATATACCAAATTCCACTTACTCTATTTTCATGGATACTTTTCTGCTTATCCAACCTAGACAAGATCCTTGAGGAAGTAAGCCCAATCACAGGTGTGCTCAATCCTTACCCATCATGTCTTTTCAAATTTTAGTAAAGAACTAACAAGTCTGAGCTGATTAATGCCTCACGGAGGTATGGCCCTGAAGGAGGGCAGTACAAAGCCATGCCTAAAACACCCATACTTGATGCCTGCAATCTCAACAATTATTGAATAGACTGATATAAAATTTTTGGGCAAAGTTCTTGAGTACATGGTGGTGGAGCAGTTCCAAAGATTCTTGTATGATACCAATTAACTGGGTCCTTTTCAGTCTGGTTCAGACATGGTTTCTGAGACTGCTCTAGTAGTTCTACTATATGACCTGTGCTAGGAGATGGACAAGGTAAACATGTTCTCAGAGATTCTTCTGAACCACTCAAACATACAGTATGACAGGCCTCAGTAGCCTTCTGGATCAAATTGCCAGGCTGAATTTAGTGAGGTTTATGAAGGCTCTGATCTTTCTGGAAGCCAGGTTCAAGAAAACTTCACTCATACAGTATCTGTATGAAGCCATTAAATGAGATTGTCCAGAGATTTGAATTGACGGCACTCTGAACCAGCTTATGGAATCAGCGAGGGACTGGATAATAAAACAAAAAGTAACTCAGAAGACAGAAATATTGCTGGTCAGGACAACACATCAGGTGTTTTACAAAGGGTTGCATTCCCTCTAAAATCCCAGATTCACAATATAAAAGTATTGAATCTGGGACAGCTCCGAGATGTTCAGGTGGCAATCGTGGCCAGGAATTTCTTCTTCTTCCTTTTTTTAAAGCAAACTGCAACTGCTTTGTCAACTGTACTATTCTTCTGTCACGTAGAATCTAGTCAGTTATGCTCTGATGACCTCCAGATTCTGCAGTGTGTTCTACCTTGGGTTTCCTTTAAAGCCGGTTCAAATTATGAGTGCCAGGCTTGTAGCAAGCCGGTTCAAATTATGAGTGCCAGGCTTGTAGCAGGGTTTAGCCTTCCGGAGCATATTTTTATGTTATATTGGCACCCACTTGGCTTCTAGATGCTTTTTTACCTTTCAAACTCTAAGCAGCTGTAGCCCAGAGTTTCTTAAGGACTGCTTCCTTCCATGTAGATCTGCGTAACAAAGCCATCTTCAGCAGCCTTGGTTTATCTAGCCCATCCCACCCCCCCAGTCTGTTGACTGGCAACAAATGATAGGATTTTTTTTTTTTAAGTCATCAGCAACAAGACTGTAGGATGCTGGGGGGGCTTTTATGGCTCCCACAGTTTTGAGAGGCAACAAAAAAAGATTCCTTTGGCAAGCTATCTGACTGACATACAGTGTTATGTGACACAGGTAGAACAGAAATAGAATTTTTTATATTATGCGTTTTTATCTTCTTCATTCCAAAGTACCTTGAGAATTATTTATTACATTAATGAATAAATGATTAGCAGGTTTGATAAGCATATTACCAACTGTGGGACCACCAATACCACAGAGACGTTAAAGGCAGCACAAACACACACACACACACAAAGGTCACTGTTACCAAGGATTCCCATAAGGACTGCAGGCTCCTTGGAAGGAATTTGTTGCAAAAAGGGCAGAATGTCATCAAGTACGAACCACTTATCCAAGTATTCCAAAATCTTTCCCAAGCAGACTAAGGAATTTACACGAACCTAGTAAACAAGAAAGACCCTCTAAATGACACAAATATTTTAAAAGACTTATGGCATAAAGAACAAGAGTCAATCATGCTTTTCAAAATAGCTCAAAAGCCATACAGGATTCAAATTCTGAACCAGTCCATACAAACTATCATTGTGATTAAGCATGTAAAAAAAACCCTAAAAATGACTTGACTCTTTAGTACTTAGACACCCCCAAAACAATGTTAGCTCTTACGGGTGACACAGGGCTGCTTTGCTGAAAACAGAACCTTTGTTACAAGTTCTCTCTCTCAGAATATGTAGCACCTACCCACTGTTGTCATGTCACCACACTGCACGCTTCCCTGCCTCAGGAGTCTGTTAAACTCAGCAGGGGCGGGGGAAACACAATTAATGTGCAACACTAGATAATTTAAATTTTTTTATTATAGTTACAATGAAAATACATCAAAGAGAAAAGACAAACAAAAATCTTGATCGAGAGAAACCATCAACCTAGCTATCTATTTTACAGTCTTACTATTCACTGGATAATTACAATTGTCATTTTTCCAACCAATTGTAGAATCTAGACCAAATATTCAAGAACATTTCCGAATTTTCCCCCTGTAGAGTCATAGTAAGTTTATCCGTTTCAGCTATTTCCAATAAATTTCCTATTAATTCCTCCCTTGATGGCGTTTCTTGAGTTTTCCAATATTTGGCAAGTAGGATTCTCACTGTAGTTAAAATATGTATAATCAAATATGAATCTGTTTTGGAGTATGTCTCTGGAATCATATTCAATAAAAATATTTCTGGTTCTAATGACATTTTTATGTCTATTATTGCCTGTAATATTCTCTGGATTGACAGCCAGTATTTTTTTATTTTGGCGCATGTCCACTACATGTGAAAATATGTTCCCGAATTCTGGTTACATTTCCAGTACTGGCTGGACATATTTGGGTAAAAAATAGCTAGCCTATTGGGTGAGATACGCCACCTATAAAAAATTTTGTATAGGTTTTCCTTATAAGATGTTGCTCTGGTAATTTTTATGTTGGTCTTCCAAATTTTTGTCTAACTGTATGTTGTGGCCTATATTTTGCGCCCAAGTCACCATTGCTGGCTTAACTATTTCCTCTTGCATCATTGATTCTAGTAGAAAAAAATAAAGTTTTTTCAGTAATTTTTCCTCAGTGGGCGGCCAAACTTTATCTAAATCTGTTAATTTATCATAGAAACCACACTTTTAATCTATTTTAAACCTTGTTTCCAGTTGTAACCTCTCCCAACAGATCAAATTAGGTTTCGTTCTTGTAAATCAATTGTTGATTTTAAGTTATTGTGGCTATAAACAAGTCCTCCTACCTCCATAATGTGTATTTTTTGTATAATGTAGGTTTTATAAACGCTTCCAGAGGGGAAACCCATTTTGGTATCTTAGTATAATGTAGTTTCTTAATCTCTTGCCATGTTTTTAACAATGCCCCTCTAAGAAACTATTGGGTAAAATATTTCTGTGACTCGTACTTGTTGTACCATAAGAATGCATGCCAACCCATCAATAGGTCGCGTCCCTCTAATACAACCTTGTATTTTCCAGCATTACTCAATCTCTTATCTAAATCATTGTTGCAGCTTTGTAATAAAGTAACCAGTTTGGTAATGCCAGACCTCCTCTTTCCTGTCTTGCAAGTTTTTCCTATTGATTCTGGGTCTTTCATGCTGCCAAAAAAATTTCCCTATGATTTTATCAATATCTTTAAAGTATTGCTGGGTCTTCAGTATCGGAATATTTTGAAATAAAAATAAAAACCTCAGAAGTACATTCATTTTAATCAATGCAATACGACCCATAAAGGAGAGTTGCAGAGTTTTCCATTTTTCAAGATCTTTCTTAACTTCTAAGAGTAAGTTTTTATAGTTATCCTCATATATGGCACTAATTCTACTTGTCAATAATATTCCTAAGTATTTAACTTTTTTTTTAAACTTCGATAGTCGAGATTTTTTGTAGTTCTTGTATCTCTTGTTCAGTACAGTTTTTGGTGATTATTTTGGTCTTTTTAAAATTAATTTTTAACCCAGCCACCTGACCATATTCTTGTAATCTATTTAAGAGTTGTGTTGTTGTTGTTATTGGTTCTTCTAGTATAAACACCAACTCATCAGCGAAGGCTTGCAGCTTAAAGTCTTCTCCTTTCATCTTAAGACCTTTGATTTGGGTATCTTCTCTAACCATATTAGTTAATGTCTCTAAAACAAAAATAAACAATAAAGGTGAAAGTGGGCAGCCCTGTCCGGTCCCTTTTTATACTTCTATCATTTGTGAGGAATCGCCATTTACCAGGAGCTCATTGTTGTTCGTAAATTACGTTAATCGTAGTATAAAAATATTTTCCACATTCCCAACTCTTTAGTTGTTCTAACATAAAATTCCAACTAACATTGTCAAATGCTTTTTCTGCGTCGAGAAATAATAATGCCATCTGCTTTTCTGAATACAATTCATAATATTCAAGCACGTTCACAATGGTTTTTATATTATTTCTTATCTGTCTTTTGGGAAGAAAACCCTATTGATCTTGTTGAATAACCTGAAGTTAGACCTTCTTGAATGTCAATGCTAAAATAGTTGCATATATTTTCTAATCAACGTTTAGTAGGGAAATAGCCAGTTCGCCCGGCAAGGTGGGATATAAATTGAAAGTAATAAATAATAAATAAATATAATTTCTTATTTCTTTTGGATCCATGTCTTGTTTGTGGATTAATGTAATTAAAGCTTCATTCCATGTTTTGGTATTTTTCTCTTATGTATGATATTTTGTATTATTGATTTTAAAGGTAGTATAATTTGAACTTCGAAGGTCTGATAGATTTCCGTGGGTAGTCCATCTGGCCCTGGTGTCATCCCCCTTTTTAACTTTCGTATACCTTCAGTTATTTTACACATTGTTATTGATTGATTTAAAGTTTCTTGCTGGTTTATTGTGAATTTTTTGCCACTGTCGTTTTTCAAGAAATTTTTAATCTCTTGTTGGTCTTGTTCTTTCTGCCGATATAAATTTTTATAATAGTTCTCAACAATATTTTTTAAATCTCTAAAAGTATATTTCTCCTCACCTTGAGATCATTCCTCAGTGCCTTAATGTATCTTTTTCCTTTCTTAGTCTATATGCAAGCCATCTTGTCGGCTTGTTTGCATTTAGAAAAGTGATAGTGCTTCGTATCTTCCAACATTTTGGCTAACTCTTGAGTTAGAAGACAGTTAAGTTGGTGTTGCAGGATTTTTATCTTAATGCTAGTACTTTCCATGCAGGGGAATACCTTCATCTTAATCTCCTCTTTTTAAATTTGTTTTTCAATCTGTTGGAACTTGAGTTTTTGTTGTTTCCTATTCCATGCTTCTTGGATAATAAATTTACCTCTTGCAAAGGCCTTGAATGCATCCAATACTACTTCAATGGAGGTTTCTGGTTGAATATTACACTTTAAAAAATCTATAAATTCAGTCTTAATTTCAGATACAAATCTTTCATCCTTTAATAACCAAGTATTTAAAGACCATCTGTTTTTCTTCTGAACATCTTGCAACAACATTACAGAATTATGGCCCATGAAAGTTCTGGGTAAGATCGCCACTTCAACCACGTTATTAATCATATTTGCCAAAATCCATACCATATCTAGCCTTGACCAGGATCTGTGCCTAGCAGGAAAAAAAGTATAATCTTTTGAATTTATATTTTTAGTTCTCCAGGCGTCTATCACATTGTATTCGTCTGCTAAATTTAAAAAAGTTTTTGGTAACACATTTCCTCTTTTATAACCTCCTGTTTCTCTATTCCTATCTATCTTTTTGTCAAAGATGGCATTATAGAATCCTATAATACAAAACTCTTCAAAAGTTTGTTTGGATATAATTTCTCTTAAGTAGTGGTAAAATCTTACTTGGTTTTGGTTTGGTGCATAAATGTTCACTATTAATGTTGTCTTTGCCTGTCTTTGAATTCGTACCATAAGGACTCTACCATCTTCAGATTCAAATACCATTTCAGGGTACAAGTATTCTTTTACATAAGTTGCTACTCCTCTTTTGCGGATCTGCTGATATGAAACATTTTCCAAGCGCCTTGTGCTCTAAAATTTTTTGATCTTCTTTCCTGATATGTGTCTCTTGAAGGCATTCTATATCTGCATGCAGTTTTTTAATTTGTAGAAAAATTCTTTTCCTTTTTTGCGGTGTATTTAATCCATTTATATTTATTGATATTATTTTAACTTTCCTATTTTCCATCTTTCTTCTCACTTGCTTCTTCTACTTTGTTTTTTTGTTGTTGCCTTGTGACTATTTGTAATAGCAGATTTCTCCATTTTCTTTCTTCTATTTCTTCCCTTCGCCGCCAATAGCACCTTTCTCCTGTGTTTCTTCATGTTTCACTTGAATCATCATCCTGCATTCCCATTTCTCTCCCATATCTTGCCCATAAATCTTCTGCTTTGAATGTTGAATTAATCTTATGCCTTTTACCGGCGTGCGTAAATAGTAATCCTTAAGGCATCAACCTTAATGTTATATCATTTGATCTCAACAGAGTCGTAAGTGTTAAATACTCTTGACGTTTTTCCCTTACCATCCAGGGAATATCTCTTAAAATCTTAATTTCTGCCTCTTGGATTTTCAACGTATTTTCAGTAGCAGCCCTAAGGAACTTGTCTCTGATTGGTTTTTTGTAGAACTTAACATGTACTTCCCTAGGAAGCTTATTTTTTCTTGCATAAGTTGAATTTCTCCTAAATACCACCTCGATTTCATCAGAAATTTCTTTATCCAAGCCCATTCCTAATTGTGCCTCTAACACTCACACTATTACCTCTTTTAAATTCTCATCTTTAATTTCTGGCACATTCTGAAACCTTAATATATGTGCCGCTTTTTCCAGCTCGAATCTTATCAAGGATTCCTCCATCACTTCCTGTTTTGAACTTATATTTTGCATTTTTTGTTCCACTTCTTTGACTCTCTCTTCCATTTCGTTAGTTAATGCAGTTACATTTGCTATCTCTTGGTCCTGGTCACACGGGCAGGAAACTGCAGGGGGGAAACGTGACTGTTAGCCCCGAGGCTAAAAACCGTGCGGTTGCTCGAGCAGACCTACCTATCGAGGTCCCGTGGAGGTCCCGTGGTAGGGGGGAGGTGCCGATCACTCCACAGTCCTGCGGCCTGGCAAAGAAGAGGGGCGCAGGGCAAACGGGTTGGTTGTTTTTTTAAAAAACACAATTGTGCGCATGCTCCCTTGGGTGCGTGTGCGCATCCGTGCAGACTTTGGAAAAAAAAACCCTTTTTCCGAGGGGACATGGGTGGGCGCCGGAACTACCTCCGGAAACGCGATCAGACGCCTGCCCTAGTTTTTTACTGCGTGTCTTTGGCGGGAAGCCTCAGTTGCGCCACGGAAGCCCGACGCTTCCCAGATGTGCCGGTGAGATCGCGCCCAGAAACTCCGCCTATCTTCCGTCCCTCTAGCGTGGCTAATGCTCCATGTGACCGGGGCCCTTGTTTATTTTCTATTAGTTGTTTTTTAATTTCTTCTGTTTCTGTATCTAATTTCTGTGTGAGTGTGTCTATTTTTTTCTCTATAGGTTCTATAACCTTAGCTACCAATGAAGGTAGCGTATTTTCAACCACGTTATTTATTGCTTGTGCCACACTTTCTTGGATTAAAACCTGCAGATCTTTTTTATTCATCTGCGCAAGACTCATTGCAGCTGTTTTCAATTGGCCAGGAGATGGGAGAGATCCTTTTCTATTTCCTGAGGACATCTTTCTCTTATTCTTGTTTACTTATTATTTTACTAAAAATATATATATTTTTATTTGTGTGTGTGTGTGTGTGTATATATATTCTGCTACCATACTCTGCTCTACTCTACTTTTTTTTTATAGCACTGTGGACTTAACACTATACCTCACTTATTCCTAAACACCTATATCTAACTGAATCCTATATTCTAACTAGCTAACTTTATCTATCTAACCCTATCTATATCTTATTCTATCCTAAACTCTAATACTTAAGTCTTAATTATCCTAACACCTTCACCCAGTCTTCCGTGCTAACCCAGTTTTTGCTATTGGTACCACAGTATACGATATACAAAATACCACCAAACAGTATACAGAACAACTAAACAGAATCAAAAATCCTCTTCTATTCTTCTTCGTTTCTTCTTTCTTCTCCTTCTCTCCTGAGGTCCACCAGCGTCACCCAAAATAGTTAGCATCTAACAATAGGTGGAAACACATGAACCAGATTGTACTATTTTTTGTAGGTCAAATGTCCCAAAGTCTCTTGTCCTATTGGTCTCGATTTTAAAGAGTAAATATGCTTTCTCTACGGCAGTTCCAGTCTATCACACGCACCGGTTCAAATCAAAGTTTAATCCCCCTGTATCTTCTTTAGGTCTTAATTTAAGTTGTATCTCCAGAGAGTATGTATAAAAGTATATATAAGAGGGGGTCCACTCAGCTTGCCAGTTGAATTTCTTAACTGTCCCTGGCCGCTTTAAGAGAGAGACGCAATCCCCCTCCTCTCCCTCAGTTCTGCACAACGAACAAGTTTAAAGGGCGCTCCTCCTTTTGCCACTTAACATATCCAGCCTTAATTCAAGGAAGTGAAAAATTTGCTAGATAATTGATATTACATATTAAAAAGAGCAACGATGTGAGTTTTCAGAGCTGGAGATACTGTTTTCAGCCTTTGGCATTTCCATCCCATATTACAAATGACATAATTTAAAAATATCATTGTCTTGCCCTGACCAGGATAGCCCAGCCAAGTCCGATCTTGTCAGATCTCACAAGCTAAGCAGGGTCGACCCTGGCAAGTATTTGGATGGCAGACCTCCTGAGAATACCAGGGCTGGGAGGCCAGAGGCAGGCTATCAAGCCACTTCTCTGAATGTCCTCTGTGCCCCAGTAGGAGTCGCCAGAGGTTGCCATGACTTCCAGGCATGGACACACATACACACACACACGCGCACAAAAATGCAAAACTACCAAAAAAATTATTCTTAATGTAACTCAGAATGCACATTCATTAAAACAATTCATTTTAAATTTGCAATATTAATCATTATCTTTTCATGATCATTGCTGTGGAGTCATAAAAATAGTTCTGCATTCTGCTCCATCAATTACAGGTTGAATGCTCCCTCTCTCTTTGCACATGAATCCTTCTGTCCTTCTCAAATTTGTTTTGAGACTTCAGCCAGATTGCATTAATGTTGAATTTAGCTAGGAAAGGTCAGGGGAATTAACATGCTTCTTTCACTTGTACCCATCATCCTGCAGACTACTCCCTAATCCTTGTTTTATTTTTACTTCAGAGCTACAGTTCTACTATTCTAATTTTATGAGAATTCACAGAGAACTCCAGAGCAACAGATTAGAAAAATTCCAACAATCAGTGACTGCTACGCATTAAGACTTCATGTAAAAGAAAGTTTAAAAACTTTTAAATGGCTATTTTGATCATTTCAACACAAAGTAAAGGAACTCAACACAATTTGATGCCACGGAGCATTAGTTGCCACAGCTGCTTGAACTTTTTTTAAAGCAAACCATTATGACCTTTTTCTTTAAATCCATAGCAGAGAGAAAAAAATATTTTAAAGAGTTCTGAATTTTAGAGAACCTAACTTACCGCAAGAGATGATGTTTGTAAGCATGCACTTTTAATTCTTGGTATCAGTGCATTTTTCATTGATGGGTAGTCTATAAGGTTAGCAAATGTAGGAATTATGTTTAAGCACAGTTCCTGCAAATGGAAGAACCACAATTATTCTAAAGATAAATAGTACGCATTTTGACATTTAAATTTAAAATGTTCCATCTATAATTTTCTTTCCTCTGCTCACATTATGCAGCTGGAACAGTGATGCAAAGTTCCCTCACTGATGTTATGAACATAACATGCCCATGGTGACAAATGGCCAGAAGAAGCTGTGATGGACAGGAAGCTGTCCTGACCCTGAGAGGTAAACATCAACTCAGCCTGTAGGAGTGCTGCTCCAGCCTCCAATCTCCTCTCAAAGGGGCGATGGGAGGTGAAAGAGAGAAAGCACAGGGAACAGAAGTGGAGGGCTGCCTGAGGGGGAGGGCAGACAATTGAAGACGGGAATTGTCTCAGCAAGGAACCAGAAAATTGTGTGTATGCCTGTCTGGTAGCTGTACCATGGCAGAGTGGTTTGATTCTACCTCTGGGAGAAGACAGAAATGTGAGGCCCATCTCTAGTGATGAGCAAACCTGGTAACTTCAAGCTTGAAAGAGAATTCATCACATAACCTGTACATAAATAATTCTTTGCTGTTTTAAACTGCCTGCTTCAATGACTTCTGTACTCTTCAGGCTTAATACAAAACTGTAGAGGAATTCTGGTGCCCAGGAAATTGCCTGAGACCCCCCAGACCTCACTAGAGTTCAATGGGCTAGACTGGGCTGGCAAGAGACTGAATCTTTCCAGAGAGAGAGAGACAACCAAGATGGTTGCTTCACACTAAAGCCCATTTATTGAACCTTAAAATCATATAAAAATCTTAGAGCAAAGTATACACAAGCATCATTTCCAATATGTGCCATTGTGCACACTTATAACAAGTAAAGGAATGCATTCCAGCTACCCACCAAATCTGTGGACTGGTTGGTGTGTAGCAACTAATAATGAGAAAGCAAGCCACACATATACCTTGCTAGCCACATATAGTTGTCAATTAGGAATATGATGAGAACTACACCCTGTTCATCGAGGACCCACTGAACTCTGCTCGGAGTCAGCTCATACTCTGTGAGGTCAGAAAGCTCCAGACACCCGAACTGTGTCAGGGTGGAGCCATGGTGCCGTATACCCTGATATCCCATTAATGGCTGGCATAGGGTTGCCAAGTGTATCTTCGCCGGGAGCGAGGGGCTCCCGGCCGGAGTCCGATGCGTGCGCGCGCGCGCGCACATCACCCGGAAGTGACGGGAGGACGCCAGGCACGCTGGGGGCAGGGCCACGGCCATACAAGAGAAAACCATAGAGTTTTCCCTTGTATGGCTGTTGCCCCGCCCCCAGCGTGCCCACGTCACTTCCTGGTGACGCGCACGCAGGGGTGGGGTTCCCCCCAGGGCCCGATTCCAGGGCGTCGGAAATCGGGCCTCCAAAGCGGGGGTTTACCCGCCCCCCGCCCCCACTTGGCAGCCCTAGGCTGGCACCATGCATTGTGGAATGTAAGCAATGTTTGTAAGTGAAAGGGCATAGGCAAAGCAACACTTTTGAAAGGAATATACGCTTAGTGAGAGGCTGTAATTTGTTTTAACTGTTTAAATCAAGTGAAATTGCAAATTGATTTTAAATTGATTTTTGGTTTTATTATGCATAGTATATAGTGATAACCTTATGGGTTACTTTGGATGCTTGTTTCTGTGGAAATAATATTTAAACAGACATACAGTCTACACGGGGCTGCTTTTAAAGTGTGTCCTGAAACTACAGCTTGTTCAGACCACAGTATCTAAGTTCTTAACAAAAACTAGCTACAGAGACCATATCATGTTTATCTTATAATACTGGTATTCCTTGCCAATTTTCTGACCCAATTTAAGCTGCTGGTTTTAACCTTTAATGTAAGGGGTAGAGACATGAGGTATCTGAAGAACTGCTTGCTTCCACAGGAACCTACTGCATGTGGAAGCATATCCTGCCCCCCACACAACTGTAAGTACAATGGGACAATAGTATTCCCAGTAGTGGCTGTGACAATGGAAAAGAATTAAAATTTATAGAAATTTTGAAGCTATAGAAAAAAATATTTCCCCCAGAAAACAGAAACAACTTTCCCCCAACTTTTTCTCACTTACTCTAATGGGAGGAATATGACATTTCTCACTTACTCTAATGAGAGGAAAATGACATTCAAGGTAAGTAAGGTATCTAAGAAAAGCCACTAGAGAATGTTCTTGGGCTTATCTTTCTTCTTCTAGACAAAACAGTAAAAAGGTTCCTGTCGACAGAGAGAAATAAAGTTTATTCTGCAGTGGAAAAAATGGACTGGAAAAAATGAGGCCATCATACCTGTATCTGAATTGAAGGTGCTTCTAAGGCTCTATAGACCATCGGCAGAACACTGTTCTTTATTTCATCAGGAGGAGTTTTGGTTAGGAGCAAGTCCATTTTTTGAAGAAATATCAATAGAATCTGTTTTTTAATAAACCAACAAATATATAGATGTATCATAAAGGCTTTTATGTTAACAGCTTTTATTGTAATATTTGGTATTTACTCATATTAAAGGAAACAGAATACATGCACTCACCATGTTACTAGCCTGTGAGCATGGAAAACAAGAATATTCAAACATTATAGTATTTTTAAACAAATACAGGAAGTATAATCATGTACTATGAGTTATTAACAGAATGAATTATATACAAAAATCTTCATATGTTAGACTGATGGACAAAAGCTACTTAAACTAAACACCCAAGAGTACCAAGTCTTTAAAGTGAACCGTCAATGGCACAATAAACTAAGAGGCAGGAACAAGAAAGG